CATGCAGAGAGAGATAGGGCCCAGCAAAAAGGCTCTGGTCAGTTACGGAAGAAGAGCTCATGTGGGCTTGATTTTCGAGTTTACCCTACACAGTTGAGAAACAGTGAAGAATTTTTAACAAGAGAATGACATGTTCCGATTTGCATTTTAGAAAGGGCAGGCTGGCAGCGTGAGGCATAGATTGTCCTAGGGAAAGACTGGAGGTGGGGAGACCAGTTAGAAATACAAGGCTCTGGTGATGGTTCATGTGAGGGATGCTAAAGGTCTGGAAAAGTTATGTGGATGGAGAGGAGGCAACTCTCAGAGAGAGGGTGGACTGGAAGACACCGTTAGATGGCGTGAGTTGAATTTGGAGCGAGCAAAAAAGGAGACATCGCTTATTGCGTATCAACCTCGCTTCTTCTAATGGGTCATGTAATTTGTGATTAATAATAATGTAAAGACAGACATTACCATTCATACAACAACAGAGTAAAACTTCCAAGTTTCTTATAAAAGACTCCCATTTTGAAGTTCTAAAGACTTAAAAATATAGATGATTCCATTAGATTCTTCTTCAGAGGTACCTCAGTGGAACCTCTTTGTCTCCCACAGAAATATTATCAGAGCATTGTTAAACATAGAAGGGTATAAATATCCCAGCTTTCCCATAACTTTCTAGAAGTCTACAGAGTAAACAGCACTATGTTCAGGCACTGAACTTCTATTAATCCGTCTGCTTTAAAAAATATATACCAATTACAGGTCTTTCTTGCTTTTGTCTATCTCAAATTAAAACTGGAAGTGAAATTTTCTCAAAGTTTAAAAAAGCCATGTTTTTTGCCCTATCCAAAGTCCTGTGCTTCCTGTTACTGAACACCAGAGGGCATCATTCAGTGAAAGCCAGGATTTGGAAGAGAGGGAGAAAGAGAAGGAATTCCATTGCTAATGAAAGAAACTGATTTTTTAGTGTGTACCCTTATCTACCATGAAGCATTACCATGGTAACAGCACCAGTTAAGATGATTGTATATTTAGGTCACAGTATAAAAGAAGGAGCTTGAACATGAGGGGAAGAAAAGAGAAGTGAAATAAAGACAAGAACATGTGAAATGTGGAAGGAGGCAGACCAGCCAGAACCTACCTCACTCACCCTTTGCTAATAGCTGTTTCGCGGAGTCACATCATGCCTTTCAAAACAAAGGTGGATAGTAAATTGTAACTAAAATTAAAACTTGCCATTAGAATTCAGAACCTTGAGCACCAGCAATCTTTATAAATGAAGAGGACCTCACTCAGCAGGGCGAAGTGAGGAGAAAACTTGACAGGAAGTTGGGACACGTGCGTTCTCAGGCAGTTCTTGGTCCTCTGCGTCATGCTGGAAAAGTCACTTCCCCCACTTCAACACATCTCATGGGTTAATCTGAATGATACTAACCTCCTCTTTCCTCCTGGCACACCAGACAGAAGAAAATCTTAGTACGGTGATAGGCGAAAAGAACATCTGCCAAAAGAGCAGGTAATATTGATGACCTTGTTTTCTTCTGGCAGAGGCATTCACTGATTCCTCAGAACAAGCTGGAACTGCCTTGCTTAGGGTTTAGGGGATCCAACAAGCATGGGCGTAGTTGAATTGAAAGGATGAGGAGAGGGGCTCAGTCGGTTAAGCATTCGGCTTCGGCTCAGGTCATGATCTCCTAGTTCCTGAGTTAGAGCCCCACATTGGGCTCTGTGCTAGCAGCTCAGAGCCTGGAGCCTGCTTCGGATTCTCTATCTCTCGCGAGCTCTGCCCTTCCCCCTCTCATGCAATGTCTCTCTTTCTAAAACATAAACATTAAAAAAATTTTTTTAAAAAGGATGAGGAGAACAATGCTGAACTCTGAACACCCCAGTTTTGACCTCCCCAAACACAGGCAAAATGCTGCCACTATTCAGAGAGCCAGACCGGCATAACATTAAGACAACCACTGAAATGCAACAGGCTTGTGCGCGTTTGTATCCTGGGGCTACAACTTACAAGCTGTGCAAAATTAGTCCATTACCGGCCCCCTCTGAATGTTGTAAAATGGGGAAACTAACATCTGCCTCATAGGATTGTTGTAAGGATAAAATGAGAATTGATTCATCTATTCGTTCATTCAACACATATTTTAATAAGCTCTAGGATGTGCCAGACACTCTCTTAAACAGTGGGGATACAGCACTAACGGAACAGATGATATAGTACGCGAAAGGTGCTCAGGACGGTGCCAGAGACTTAGAACACACTCTGTAAAACCTCATTTCCAAGGAAAAATAACTGCTTCCTTTGCTCCACAGAAAACCCACACCACCACAACCCCCCCAACCGTGACTCACCTGAGCCCTGGGGTATGCAATCAGTATACTGGCCCTGATACCTTGCAACAAAAACAGTCCCAATATCCGCCCAGGGAACTGAAGGCCAAGTGAAGACAGGTGATATGAATGAAAGACAGGTATTAATAGTCACAAGGAGAATACTGACAGTGTTTGATATGCGGGGGTTCTGAGAAAAATCACACAGAATTCACATCAACTCAAATGTCCAACCAGCTCAAAGTGGTTTAAGTGAAGAAAGCCAGTCCTTCAAGGAAAATGTGTGACCAAATGTTTCGGTCAGTCTAGGTCCTACTGAGGAAAGTGAAGAGAGATGAAGATCATGAGTGGGTGCGCAAGGGCTTGGGTTTGGATAACCAGCGACAGGCATTCCCTCACAGGCCACCCCCAAACAAAGCCTGATGGTGATCGAGACTCAACCAAGCACATCTGGTGGCTGTTGATGGCACACCCGGCTTCTTGTCCCCATGGTTTTTCTCTCCCATTCCTGCTGTATTTCTAGTTATTCTACTGCCCCCTCTTCTTCCCTTTCGCACTTGCCTTAACTTTGTTCGCTGCTGTGGATCAGAGACATGAGCACCTCGGCATCCACCTGCCTATCATACTCCACTGACGCGAATACCATGCCTTCCCTGCCTTCCCTGTCGGCCGGTTGGCTGGGAACTGCGGTTTTCTTCGGGCCTCAGAGGCTGCTCCTCCCTCCTGTGCCTTTGGCTCTGGGGGCTGGCTGCCTGGACTGAAATTGGAAAATGTCACCAGAATGTACGTCCAAGTGCCTGACGTCGGAGTTATCTGCGCAAAGCGGATAGGGTCACATTTGGAGAAATGTGGTTGTTGAGTGAAGATAGCCTCTCTGACCCCCAAAATTGGAAGAATGTGGGGACTCGTCCTAAAGAGACCTTTACCTGCGTTTGACTGCTAGTCCTTTCTGGATCTGCCCCTGAAGTTGAGAGCTACAAAGGGTTTCTTTGGGTTCCCTTGAATTTGAACTATGATAGGGACATTCAAATCCACCTTTACTGTCCCTCCAGCCCCTCTCCAGACACTGGCAGGCATATGTACAGAAACAACTATGCTGCTTTCTTTTGTAGGAAGGCCGGGCATCAGTCAGGAGGCCCACCCTCAACTGTGGGGCCCAGGAATCTGCCTCACTCCCACCCTACTTCATTCATAGAGGTTTTTTTTTTTAATGTTTTATTTATTTCTAGGAGAGAGAGAGAGCGTGAGCAGGGGAAGGTCAGAGAGAGAGGGAGTCACAGACTGAAACAGGCTCCAGGCTCTGAGCTGGCAGTCAGCACAGAGCCCGATGCGGGGCTCGAACCCATGAACCGCGAGATCATGACCTAAGCGAAGTCGGATGCTTAACCGACTAAGCCACCCAGGCGCCCCTTCATTCATAGAGTTTTAAAACTGTAAGCTGACTTGGCTGGACTTTCCACACCTTTTTCAGGGAATTTCCACACCTTTATTTTTCAGGTTTACTTGGCCTAATTGTTTAGCCTTGTACAAAATATAAAATCAACAGAATTTGCTTATCTAGGTACTGCCTCAACTGAACACTTTACTAACAGCAGTAATAGCAACAAAAATTCATCTGGCATTAATATATTACTTCTTGAGACATTAGGTGAAGGAACCTGCAAAGCTGTAACCTTGCTAGTCTCAAAAGTCCACTTTCTAAATTGCAGCCCAGTATGGTTCTCGGTGTGAAACTGTCTCGAGGCCAAATGGACTAGTGTACTTCTATGATTATCCGTTCCCCGTGTTTTCATCACCCCAAATAGGGCATGCACACGTGCCTAATTGTAGCTCCTAACTCGTATCACCATCACTATTCGCTTATCAGTGAAAATGTAATCTCCTGCCATGTGCTTTTCAGTACAACGCATACACACATCCAGACTGCCAACACAATGGAATGCATGCCCTTTGCACCATGATGCCGGGCTGAACGTCAGGACTTTAGGAGCGGCCTCGCTTTCAGAGCTCTCTGAATCGCGGTAAAGCAGAACAGCCCAGAGGGAAGTGAGGTGCTCATCACCCCAGGACCCAGCCATTTGTACTTCCCTGGGCAGACTGGGGAGAGGCAGCCCGCGGCAGGTGGGCTCTGGCCTGAGGTGTGCTGAAGGCGGAGGCCTGGGGTGCCCCAGCCTCCGGCCCCCCTTAACGCTGTGCTCCCAACAGAGTTAGACAGAGCGCTGGGGCCATTTCCTCTAGAGCCTCCCCACCCTCACCCTGCCCCCAAACTCGACTTTTCCCCAGGTGTTCCCTGTTGCCCCTGCGGTTTCCCTCTGGAGTCTGGATGACTCCCCTCTCCTGCGGCCCTGGCCCCTCTGAGTGGCCTTGGCTGTGGCCGAGGCCTCAGGTGCCCGGGAGCCGGGGCTGCATGCCAGAGCGCAGGCTGGTGTGCGGTAGAGCGTGGGGATGTGTGTTTGTGTCGCTGGCTGTGTGTACTTAGGGGACGGACAAATCACACGGCTGGCTGCCACGTACCCACTGCCACCCAGCGCTAGGAGAAAGAGCAAGAAACGCAAAAACAAACCGAGAGAGAGAGAGAGAGAGAGAGAGAGAGGAAAAGGAACTAGAAAGTCAATGTGGGGGATTCCGAAGCTCGAGGACTGGGAGGCGCCTGGCTCAGGCTGGGCTCGCAGTGCCTGGTCTGGTCAAATCGGAACCCGCCTGTGGCTGAGGCCACAGACCTGCCATGGCTGTGAACTGACCTAAGGACACGGAGGGCGGCTTGGGTGAGCTATCGGCGGGCAGCTCTGCTTGCCTTAGCCGTTTACCTCCATTTCTCTGCTCTCCTGCGTGTGTGCACCGACTGTCTCCCACAGATATCCCCACACAGGCAACAGCCTAGGTCTCCTGGCCTGGGACTGGTGGTTCCGTGGACTCTCCCACGGATGATTTTGGGGCTCAAGGCAGCCTCGAGCACAGCGATGGGCAGGAGGGTAGAGAAAGGGATGGGGACGCTGGGGGGAGACTGAGGCAGTGGGTACGTGCTGCTTTCTGGGTGGGTCACTAATTAGGGGGAGTCTTCCCTTCTTGAAAGCTCTCCCAGGCGAGCCACCCCCACCCCCGCGGGGGGCGTCAGGGGCACCTGGCAGAGAGCACAGGTGGGATTCCTGTGCGAGCCACCACGCGCGGACTGGGACCGCACCTCTCCCGGTTTCTTGAGCTACAAGTTAGCGGCGACCCCACAGGTCCGCAGATGCGGACGACGCGGGGCACTGTGGACGCAGCGCCCCTAACTGCGACCCCGTGCTCCGCCGTGGTGGCCCCGGACCTGTGGTGAGGTGGGGGTCGTGGGAGCCCAGGCAGGATCTGGGACCTCGCGGGCTCCGGGCTGGGACACCGTCCCCAAGCCCAGGCGGACTGATGACCTGGTGTGCAGGACCGAAGTGGGATGGGGTTTCGGGAGGCTCCCCCCTCCCTCTGTCCTGGGATCACTCCTCATTCGTACCCCCCACCTCCGCCCCTGCCCCTTGGCCGAGGTCCTCGACCCCGGCAGCAAGCCTCCATCCCCAGACCTGGCGCGGGCGCCTGAGGGGCTGCTCGGAAGGCGGAGCGGGGGGGCTGTGCGCACCCGGGCGAGCAGGGCCTCCACCCCAAACGCACCCAGAAGACCTGGCCAGACCCTCCAGCGGGAAGGAGCGTGCGGGGCAGGCCAGCGAGAAGCTCTCCCGGCCTCGTCCACAACGGCAGCTCGGGGAGGGGGCTGCGGGTCGGGGATGGTGGAGGGGCCGGCGGGCTGCAAGGAGGCGCGCCGCCCCGCAGGCGCGGCTCCCGGGCCGCCTTAGCCACATTCCGCCGGACTCCGTGACCTGCGGAATCGCGCCCCCGCCCCGCGCTTTGCCTCGTTTGCCCCCTTCCTTCCAGACGCGCCATCACTGCCCTCAGCCCTCCAAGCCCTTAGGAGGCAAAGTTTCCGTCTCCGAATCTGCACTTATGGAGGACTATGGTCCAATTTCCCAGCCCCCGATCCCTCCACGCCGGGTTCTGGGGATGCGGAGGGACCCAGCCGTGCCTGAGTCCCTGGCGCGGGCGAGCGGGGAGCCGGGCGGCGTGGCGCCCTTACCTGCCGCGGGTGAAGCTCCAGCTGCCTCCCGGGGCTGCGATCGCGGTGAAGCCTGGCAGGAGAGGGGAGCTCTTAGCAGGTTCGGGGCCGACTGGCCCGGGAGCGAGCTGCGCACCGCTCAGAGTCCGGAGCCGGTCGCCGGCTCGTTTTCTCCCTTGATCTTGCCAGAGAAAAGGGAAAGATTAGTTGGTGCCGCGACGCCCGGAGGGGTGGGGCGGGGAGGCGGGGAGAAAGCGGACCCGAAGGCTCGGACCGGAGCAGCGGGGCGCGGGCGCGCGCGGGCAGAGTCGCGCACCCCGCACCGGTCCCGGTCACTTGGCGAGTCTGAAACCCCCTTCATGGTTCCGGCTGGAGTCAAGCCGGCGCCCCCGCCCGCCCTCCACACCAAGTCACCAAAGGAAACGCAAGAAGGACTTTCAAACCTGGCTTTCACGGAGACGAAGAGTCTGGACAGCAACACAGGACTGAGACTTGGATGGACCGGCGAGCTGGGCGGGATTCATTTCTTCACGAACTGCTTGGGGAAGTAATAATTAGTGCGGCGGACAACACCTACTTCAGTGCCTCTGGCGATTTCCTAGTGGGATCTGAGGTTTCACGGCTCTTAGCCAACCCGCAGGCTGGCGTGTGTGCGTGTGCGTGTGTGTTGGTGTGTGTGTGTGCGCGCGCTCGCTCTCTGGAGTGGGTCTCTGCGCCCGGGCGCCTTTGGTATCGCAGGAGACGGTAGCTGTTTTCGTGTGTGTGTGTGTGTGTGTGTGTGTGTGTGTGTGTGTGTGAGTGAGATTAGCTGCAATGGGCAGACAATTTCTGGAGAAGAGAACATTTACAATTTTCTTTCAATATGACAGGATTAGTTGCTGTTGAAGGCGCTCCTCCAATGAAATCTCCTCTGCTCTCTGATTTGGCGGTTCTTCTGAGCAAATATGACAGCCTTTTGTCCAGGCTCCTTTCCGCTCCTCCACGTCCATCCCCAGAGCCCAGCTCACCATCTGCAATTTCTACACCAGAACCTTTATACAATTACCAGCAGCAGCACCACCACCACCACCCAGTCCCATTCCTGCAAGTCCATGATTGCTGTAAAGGTGACATGACACATTGGGAAGAACACTGGGCTTCTCGATTGCCGAAGACGCTTAAGCTCAGTTTTTCCAGGTGGGGAAATGTTAGAATAAATCCGCTATGCGTTGTAAGCATGTAATCGTGCTGAACTAGTCACGGATTGCTTATTTCTTTGGGATATTGGCAAATGTGTTACAGAAGTAATCTTTTTTTTTTTCTTTCTAATTTTAAATGTGTTCCAGTGCCCATGTTTTCTTCAAGGAATAGGCATTAGGTTACAAAGTATTTATGGCACTTCGTGGAATTTGGGGTCTCCATGAAAGGAATTAAGATGCAAACTTTTTGTGTTCAGTACAGCCTTAGGTTTTTATTTCTTCATTTTAATGAGAAATTGCTTCCCAAAAGAGTACTTATTAATTTTTTATATTAACCCGTTTGTTAGAGGCACAATGATACGATTCTAAAGTATAGCTGAGTACAAGACTTGCTTTTGCAAAAGTATATGTATATATGAAGATAACATCATTTTGGATATGTTATACAGACTGCATTTTCTCTCATTTGCCTTTTGCAGTGAAATGAGAAACACTGAAATCTCAAACGGAAGAACACAGAATTAGGTACATCACCTTTTGTATCACAAAAACAAACAAGGAGCAAGTTGGTTTAGTATGTCTAATTCATTTCAGTTTAATTCTCAATGTCCATGTTCTGGGAAGTGTCAAAGAGAATACAGAATAGCAAAAGTCAGTGTCTCGTTTTTTCTTTATAAGCTTTCTCTCTTACTGGTAAGGGAAGACACTCGTATGAAACACCTATGTAGCAGCTGACAGTCAAGATAATTGATTATACAGCAATATAAGTTCACTGATAAATGGAAATCCTATAGCTAAAAGTTTCTGCGTGTTCTGTTAACTCGGAGCTACCACCAAGCAGGATGTGGCTGAACTCAATTTTGCTCTATTGAAGTCATCCTGAAATAATGCATCACAACACTGCGGCTCTACCTCCTGCCTCCCCCAACCCCCTACATCCTGCCATCGCCAGAAGATTATAAGATATTTGTTAGAAAATCAAAACAGCTCTCCCCAGTCTTGGTCCCAGCATCCCCAAATATTTGGTCCATTACAGTAACAACCTGATATAGTCACTTCCTTTCCTTTAGGTGCTCTTTTAAAAATGAGTTCACATCTTCTTTCCTTATTCCATTATTTCTGTCTATTAAACCTCTGTAAACCCATGGAGTTGCTTGAATCTTTTTACCACCCACTACACACCCACCCCCCCACCCCTCCACACCCCACCACAATACCAAAGCAGAAATGTAAAGGGGAATTGACCTCTGTCCAGTAATAGAGAAGAAAAACCAGTGATCTGTTGCTGATTTGTTCTTTCATATCATTGATGTCTTCTTATAACCAAGGCTACACCTTCCAACAAGAGCAATACAAGCAAAAAGCCAATGAAAGCTAGCAAATGTATTCTTAAGCTTGAATAAAACAGAGCCTGTGAGTAACTGAACTACTACTGTGTTCAAAGGAAGTCACTAGACTCGTGGCCTTTTGGAAAGGAGCTGCAAATGGAGGTAGCATTTTTGCCAAACAATCAGCAATGATGTCCATTTTCTTCTTCTAGGTCATTACTAATGACACTTCTTTATATGTATACTTTATAAGCTGCACTACTCATTGTGCGATTTTGGAAAAATTATTTAACTGCCCTGTAGAAGGGATATAGTGGTAGTATTATCCCCTGGGATTGTTATAAGGAATAAAAGAGCTAACTCATGTAAAACCTTCAGAAGAATGCCTGGTATATAGCAAATAAGATATAATTATAAGACCGTTAAGATGTTAAAACATCGATTCTTGGATCATGCCTCTAACCTACTGAATCAGAATATTTAAGGACGAGCCTTGCCAGTGGGAAGCATACTGCTCGTCAACACCATGCAGTAAACATGTTAAACATCATCCACTGTAATACTGACCCCACCAAACCCACATCCCCTTCTCTTCCTCTTCTAGTTTCTCTTTCTTTATAAAAGATTGTGTGTATTCTGTGCATTTTGTTTTTATTTTTTAACACTTATCTATTTATTTTTGAGAGAGAGAGAGAGAGAACGCAAGCAAGGGAAGGGCAGAGAAGGAGAGGAAGACAGAGAATTCCCAAGCAGGCTCCACGCTGTCAGCACAGAGCCGGATGTGGGGCTCGAACTCATGAACCGTGAATGAACCGTGAGAGCATGACCTGAGCCAAAACCAAGAGTCAGAAGCTTAACAGACTGAGCCACCCAGGTGCCCCTTTCATTTTTATTTCTTAAGTCAGTTTCCTTTCTGAGACAAAAGGAACATCCCAATTCCAGGCCTATAGTATTTACATTTATTAGTAACCCATGGTGTGGAACATTTTCAAAAGTACTTTTTAAAGACTTTGTAGAATGCATCTAGGTGTTCTCCTTTATCTGCATGGCTATTTTCCACCTCAAAGAACACTAATAAATTAGTAATTTCCACTTGTGAAGCCAAACTTCATTACCTACAGCCTCATAAAGCTAGTTTTAGGCAAGTGCTGAAGAGCTCAGATGCCTGAAAGGGACGACTTTGAATCTTTGACAAGCTCCCTTTTGATTAAGACTATAAATAAGGTCACTACTAACATAAGGAGAAGAAGGAGAATGGCACATCTCATTCCTGGGAAGGTGGTGCATATTTTATTGTGCCACGTTGATTTCAGTGCAGCAATAATTAGGCTTCAGTAATTAGATGCACAAATCAGCACTCTATCGTCATAAGTGGATTAAGAGGGTGACAAGTTCAATTCAAGTGATTTCCCACCAGGTATGGCGGCCATAACATTTTCTTAATTTTCTGCTTTCAAAGAACCAAGAAAGAAAATGAAGGTGAACACTGGGTCTGTATGGGGGAAATGGGCCAAGAGCAGGTAGTCATGCCTTCTTCATCTCCCACTCACACAGACTGCTCAGGAGTTGAACTAGGAAAGTGCCGCATTAATCAGGAGCATTGGGAAGGGCAGGCCGATTTGGCTAATGTCTACCAAAGGAACTCTGTTATTCCTTGGCCTCAGTTTGAAATATGACAATCCTGGGCTAAAAGTGACCCTCCACTAGGTGACTGTCACTGCCTAAAATGCATTCTTCAGTCTCCCTCACTGTTTTGAAATCTTAACAACAGGCTCATAATAGACACACTATTCTTCTGAGAGTAATCTGTTTTCCCTACAAACCTTCCTAGAGTAATTGAAATGCTTCTATTCTTTAGCTAGAAAACATGATCGCTTTTTTGTCTTAGAAAATCCTAAGCTTTTCTTTTTCAGACTCTGCAGTAGGAGATTCCACATACAAATGAGAATCATTCTGAGGACAGTGTTTGGGGACAGTCTAACAAACAATGCTTGGTTATTTTTTTTTTTCCTTTTTCTTGAAGTTCAGTATCGCAGCTGTGTTAAAACCTCCCTCTTCTCCCAGGGCTAGTGTTGTCTGCAGCCTGAAAACTTTTACTGCTGCTGAGTCTAAGATATTTAAAATACAGTCCAGAGCTCTTTTTCAAACAGGGGATGCAAAGAAGCGGGGAGGCAGGGAGAATGAAACGCCACCCTGCAAAACGTGAGGCGGCTGCAATGGTGATAAATCAGTGTTAAATGTGAGGGAAAGGCCACTGGCAAGCGTGTTTACTTGGGAAGGTATTTAGTGTATGTGCATTCCTCCCACCGAGGCGATGGTGAGATCCTCTTCGGAGGTAACCTCTAACACAAAGAGAATTCAAACATTTCAACCGCAGTCTACCTTCAGGGCATATTTTGACAAACAGCTTCAAGTTCTTCCTTCCACAGCCTTATAAGGTGGATGCTGGAGTCTGGGTGGAGATAAGATTCTAACAAGTTCAAAGTGAAACTCCTATCGGGCTCTTCTTTGTGCATGGGGCTCTAAATTATTTGAATCCATGGCCTTTCGTGCAGGAAATAGTAGTCGAGGAATACTCAAAATCCTTTTACTCCACAAAGAAACCTCATTTCTTAGAATTTAGAGGAAGCTCATCATGTGCTCGTGGGAATTCACATAATTTCTCAGATCATATACTTAGCCCTGTTCTTAAGCCGAAGGGTCCTTGAAGGGAAAGGTGGAAATGGTAACATATTCTCAAAAACCATACCCTGGCACCACTACAAGATAGAACAGCCTCCATACTAAATGATTTACCCTCTATTTCATGAGAGTGGCTGAGACCATGGTGATGCAGGAAGCTATGGTTGGCAAGCAAGACCCACACTGACTGTGTCGGATAATATCACTCCATATACACCTGGCTGTTTCTCTTACTAATAGGTCCAAAGAAGTATCCCTAAAGCATTCCTTGATTTTCTGTGCCTAATGAGAGGGATCCTAGACACTTCGTCCTTTCTTTCTCATTTATGCAGCAAGGTAACTGGGCAGGGGGGTATCAGGGCTTCATTTACAAAATCTCATGGGCGGTATTCTCTAAATCCCTGCAGAAAGGAATGAAGCAAGGAAAGGCCCCAGGCAAAGTCAATGTACATGTTCCATTCCTACGAGGCTTTTATTGACAAACATTTTCCTAGAAAATGAGTTCATTTAAAAAGCATGCCAAATAAGCATGTGTTGATAATCACTGAAAATCTTCAATAATGACCAGTGAAAATCTAACCTCAGAGCTCTGCAGCTGACATGATGTGCTCTCTGGATATCGATGCCAGGATACAGAGTACACAGATTCTCCTGCTTAATGGTGATCCCCTGGAAAGGTTTCTTTCCTGAGCAAAGCAATCACTGGGAAGGCTTAAACCTGGACATATTATTAAACCTGGACATATATTCATAACCAATGAAGGGGAGCTGAATATGTTACCTGCAAATATGTGTCTTTGGTACATTATTTTGAGCTGGTTATTTTTAAGAAACAGCAGATACAGAGGAAGCTCTGAAAAAGTTACCTTTTTTGTCAGAGACATTTATAGGGGAGATCTCCATTTATAAAGGTGTGTCCCTCTCTGTAACAGGAAGAGAAGGATGACTAAATCTCTAGAAACTCATATCAGTGGAGAAGGCAAGGGCTTAAATCTGTACCATGACCTGACCCTCACTTACTGTGTTCTTCTGGGTAAACTCCCACAACTGGTTCTCCCCTCCCCTGCCCCCACCCAGTATCTTCTTTGGTCTTTAGCCAGAGATGTCATTAAAGGTGATACCTTGGGCCATTTCAGGAGAGTCACTCAGTTTTCCTGGATGTCTCCCATATATTCTGGGGGTATACATGTTATTAAACTTTTGCTTGTTTTTCTTCTATTCAGCTTTATTATGGGGGGGTCTCAGCCAAGAACCTAGAATGCTAGAGGGGACATTATTTTTCCTCCCCTACACCATCTACCAAAACCTTGGGCTCATGCTTTATGGTATCCAGGGTGGACAAATATAACTAAAAGTCATTGGACTCCATGTCTAATTTCCAAAGTTAGTTAATGGAGAAGCCTAGAATAGGACAGGAGCATCCCTACACACTCTTTGTCCAGGGTACTGTGTCACTCTGAGAGTACTCAAGTATTCTGTAACTCTCTGCTTTCCTTTACTAATTTGTTTTGTATTTTTTTGTGTTTTGGAAGTAATAAGGTGACTACAAAGTCACTTAGCAATGAGAGCCTCTGGCACATGGACACTTCTGTAATTTCTTGAGAAGAAAACTCTTAGTCATGGCTATCACAGCTTATTCT